CAAAGAATATAGAGTATAATATGAAAACATACCTCTACTTACAACCATTATTATCACAAAGAAATCCACACAAATATTAGAGATTTTTTTATAAAGAGAATAGAGAAGTCTTCTAGCCTTTACCTTTTTTGAATGTTTGAATCAATGGAGTATCATAGGCTTTATATAAGGAAGGCTAGAGACCCCTTCATAAATTCAAAAGTTTAACTACTCATTTAATTTGACTCCTCCATTAAAAGCCAATAATGCAAAAATTTGAAACTTATAATAGTTATATTAATTCATTGTGAGTCACTTAATGTTTATATTATAATATTCTCCCATTTGCCTCATATATTATTAATGATGATCTTTATTTTTGACAATTAAGTATGACCATAACATGTCAACTTAAACTTGATATTGTCACCAAAAAAATAATCACACATGAACTGTAGCAGTTATATTTTAGATTAATATTTTCTTCCATGTATTACAATGTGTAACCTTTTCTTAGTGAAATATAGAGTCCTAATATTATTGATTCAATATGAATTCATTCATAACTAACTTTAATGTGCACAAGGTCATAAAATAAAAAAGACAAGCTTTAATGCAAGCCTTTGAGTGTATGATCCTAAAATATTGTAGCTAACATTCTTATACTGAATTGTTGATTTTGTAATATACTAAATAGAGATTAACTCTCTTTTGATGTCAACCTCAAGCGTGTGGTTTAACGATAGGGGTTGATCCACGCTTAAGCAAGGTCAGGGGTTTGAATCCTGCCTTGTGTATGCAGCTACGTTAAATCTTGGGACCCATCACTACTATCGATGGTGGATACTCCAGGGACGAACAAAAAAAAAACTCTCTTTTGATGTCTATTTTATATCAATTTGTTTGCCTAGGCTTTCACCTTTAATATTTTTCAAAAGAATACTTAACCGAGAGTTCTTAATTGATTTTCAATAGAATTGAAAACTTTAAGACCGAAAACATTATGCCTGTGATGTTATCTTATAGCATCCAACAAATATTTTTTTTTAAAGTGATATTCAAGAGTATCATATACTTTCCCTTATTTTCTCAAATTTCACTTGTCGAGAATTCACTTTTATTATTTGACTTCCACTGACTTTTGGAACGTTTGTATAAGAACTATATATCATTTTCATAATATAAAATTAATGCTATGATAATTCATAAATCAGTAAATTCAAAAAATTTTATGCAAAATATGCACAAAATTTACAAACTTTATATATGGACAATAAATATCATAATAAAAAAATCATGCCTATGAGTATAAAAATATCCTATCATGACATTTAATCCATAACCTTAATTAATTATTTTTTCCTTATGAAATAACTCTTTTGTAAAATTGTCTAGGATGTTATGCCTACTCCCAAATATGTAATTCATATATTAATTCATGAATTAATCATTTATCATAATTTACAATAGAAACATTTGCAAATTACATAATTGCAAAGTTTAAACATGGTCACTCATTATTCATAATATGAGATAAGTGTAAATTATGTATAAGCCTATAAATTTGATGACATAAAACTTGTGTATGAGCTAAAGTTTTTCTCAATTTGATTCATTACATAACCTTATGATAAAACTATCAAATTATGCTCCTTTTGTACTAATTGATTATACATACAACAATAACTCATGTGAGATAAACTTATTATATTTAATTATAATCCATCATAATATTATGTCTAATTCTTTATATGATTTTAAGCAACAAAATATATAATTTAATAAATTAAAGATGCTATGTATAGTCAATAATTAATTGAAAAAATAAACATCACTAGACAAATATATTCTTTTATAAACTTTATGATTTTTAGAATCATCAAGATTTGAGACACATTATAACTCACAATTTGAATTGCATATATCATAATATGTGTCCAATACCAATTATCAATATCATCGTGAATTAAAATCAACGATTATAACTAGATTCAAATCATGAAAATAATCGTGATAATTTTAATTAATATAAATTAAAATTAAACTTAATTATAGCAATTAATGTGAATTAAGACACATTACAATAGTTGTATGTCAAATCACGTAATCTCCATTAAGATAAATATTAATTGAATTCTAATAGATTAACAAACAGATAAATATTAATTTAAATAAATAAATGCAAGACTATTTAAAAGAATTTTGATACAATTTTAATCTGTATATACATTGGTATATTTATTCATAAATAAATTGATTCCTTTTTTTATGATTAATCCATAGACGTAAAATAAATGAATAAATAAAATTTAGTATAAGTATGATCCTTGCAATGGTATGTAGCCAAAATAACATAATTATATATATATATATATATATATATGAATAAAATGGTTGTAAGTTTAGCTTTGATATCAATTGTTGGATCTTAACGATAAATATAATAAAATATTCTTTTGTTCTTAATACATATTATAGATTAAGAACAAAGAATTTAGAGTATAATGTGGAAACAAACCTTTATTTACAGTCATTATTATCATAAAGAAACTTACACAAATATTATAGTTTTTGCATTTTTTGAATATGTGAATTTATATAGGTAAGACCAGAGACCCCTTCATAAACTCAAAAATGTAATTGTTCCTTTAATTTGACTTTTCCATTAAAAGTCAATAATGCAAAAAATTTGAAACTTATAATGATTATATTAATTATGATTATGAGTGTTTATATTCTAACATAATGATTCAAACACAAAGTTTCCTTTACCTTTACATGTTTAGAAATCAAAGCAAGCGGAAGAAAACTCGAAGACTCTTGGTTGTTGTGTGAATCCTATAAACTTAGATTTTCAGCTTTAGGGCCTTTGAATCTTCCACTCAGTCACTTTGGATAAGTTATAGGGAAGAGTTGAAAAAAGATTTTCAATGGAAAAAGAAGAAGAAAGATTCGGTTTGCAAATAACTTTTCTCTAACTTCTCTTTAACTTTGCTTATAACTTGAATTTATAAGGTTCACCTTTTTAGGGTACCTTGACCAAAGTTCTAAAACAACAACACTAACAATAACTTACAACTAATCATACAATTAAATTAAAATACCCCAAAACACATAGTATTAAAAAAATCACAAATCATATCTCATTTGACTAATCTCTCATAATTTAGTAGTAAAATTAATATAAAAAATGTAATTTTATTAGAAATATATGTAAAAAATAAGGTTTTTATTATTTCTTTTATTACAAAATAACTATAGTTTGAAAATTTTATACACAAAATAAAAAAAAATATATCACTTATGAAATAATTTTACTAAAATAGTCTCATTTTCTTAATAAAATGTATTACTTTTACACAATTTGATTATGTAATTTATGTGAGAGAAAATTATGAAAAAAAATTAATACTTACATTGAAATATAAGATCTTCCGTTAGGAAAAAAAAATCAAATGTTAGAGCTAAAACTATAGTCATTGAAAAACAAATATAAGTCAATATACTTATCATTATTATAATTACTGTACTCTGAAAGCTGCTTCAATATTTAAATGATTAGTTTGATTATTTTCTATCAATTTTTTCAAATTTTTGTTTTATACATATGATTATGAATTGAATCTTAACTAAAATGATTTAAAAAATATTTAATTACTTTTTATACATTTAAAAATATTAAATAGAAACTAAATCAACTCAAAAATAAAATTAAGGATTTTTAAATAATATTATTACATAAATACTAGTTTTCTTTACATTCATCATTAAATTTTTATTATAAATTTAAATATATAAACATTTTTTATAATTAATATTTGTCATTTTATTTTTTCTTTACAATTTAAATAAAATTACTAAAGAAAACTAATAATTATAAAATGTAATATAAAATATAAATATTAATAATATTTCTTATTAAAATTATGTATATGTGTGCACGAAATAGACGAAGATTGCAAAAATAAAATTAAATATTTTTAAATAATATTATTACATAAATACTATTTTTCTTTACATTCATCATTGATTTTTTATTATAAATTAAATATAAAAATAATTTTAAAAATAATCAAAGAAAACTAATCATTATAAAATGTAATATAAAATATAAATATTATTAATATTTCTTATTAAAATTGTGTACATTTATGTGCGCACACATATATAAACTATATTATATATAAATATGAATATATTATAAATATAATATTATTTGAAAGAAACATTTGTATAAATTAAAGTAATATAAATTATTTTAATATTCATAATTATTTTATAATATTTTTAATTATAATGTAATTTACATATTCAAATATATTATTCATTTGTCTCTATACTTTTTGTAAATTTTAATTATATATAATAAATATTTAATTTATGTAATGTATAAACTAAAATAATAATAATTTTAAAATAAAGCTAAAAGGTTAAAATATTAATAATTTTGAAATAAAAATATACTGTATAATTTTGATGTAAAGTTAAGACCTTTTTTTATTTTATTTATCAAGTATGTAAAGTTAAGACTTGAGAGTTTAAAATTTAGGATTAAGTTAATTACATTTTATTTCTTATTAGCATGACAGAGTTAGAAAGATAAGAAGAGAATTTTTTTTTTTTAAAAAAAAGTGTTAAGAAAAGAAACGTGTGGATTGGGCGAAAATTGAAGGATCTTTGAATGCATTTATGACGAACACAGAAGTCTATGAGTAGGAGACATCACAGTCTGATGTGAGGTTGAAACTTGCATTGCATTTGCAGCACTCAATTCATTTCAAATCTCCCAACTCACCAAAAGACAAAAAAAAACTCATTTGCATCTCTTCATTTTCACTTGTCTTATTTTTAATCACATCAAGATGTGATCATAGTCATGTGTGATATGTCAATGTCGTCATAGAAAAAAGTTATTAAAAAATGGATTCTTATTAACACTATTTCATAGTACCTTTTTCTTTTTCTCTCTCTAATGTTAATAACAACAATTAATAATAATAATCATAATGGAGAATTAAGAAAGGTAGTGTGACCTGTGGAAGGTGGGGTGGTGAGAGATTAGATTACACTTGAACTTGATAGACGTGAGTTAATGCAGAGAGAGAAAGACTTTATATTTTGTTTATTAAGTCTTTGATGTACTTAAAAGAGACCAGACATCAGTGAAAGTTTGAATAGTGAGTAAGTGAGTGGTGATGAAGTGGATGAGTATTAGACACTGTGGAGTACCACTTTCAGTTTCAGTTTAAGATTCAGATTGAGAGTTTTTTCTGTGCTTTTAAGTACATACATGTACATGCACAGCTTTTGGTTTGGTTAGTATCAAAATCTCATATCTTGTTCCTCTTCACTTTACTGAATTTTCAAGGTCTCTTTCTCTCTTTTACTATTCTTTTTGCTTTTCTTGGTCCATCTTCCTTTGTACCCTTATCCCTTTACTATTGTTTTTCTGATTAAGATTTTAAAAAAATAATAAAATAGAAAACTTGAATTTTTGTGGTGTGATAGTGAATCTATGACAGAGGACTTCTTGTTATGGGTAAGGCAGGAAGGCTTTAATTTGTTGATGGTTGATAGGGTACTGTTGATTTTAACAATAACTTTGTTTCTTGTTTATGTGAGTGTTCTGGGAATTAACCATTAATGAAGAGTCTGTTCAATTTTGACATGATTTTTATGATGTCAAAAGTCTTAAAAAGGAAGAATTCCTTTTTGTTCAACTTCTCACTTTTTTTTTTCCTCATCTTTTAATGTCCCGATATATTTTTTTCTTTTATCTTTTCACAAATATTTAACAGTTCACATGCATTCTATCTCTCTACTCTGTTATGTTGATTCAAGTTGTTTTTTTTTTGTTAGATTGCTTTCTAAAGGTTTGAAACTTGTAAATGATTCCTAGACTTTTATGCTTTTCAAAGGAATTAACTTTATTGTTATTGACACTTCTTTATTATCAAATGAAACTCTAATTTGGTGCTTCCATTTCATTTTAGACAAGTTCCAGTGTCATGCAAATTGTTTCCTGCTTTTGATGACCTACTACATATTGTTCATTTGTTTTCATAAAAGAACATATGACGAAAATTCAGGTGTCATGCTTAATTCAGAATAGTAGATTCTAGATTTAAAAAGATTAACCAGTACTTTTTCTGAACTTCTATAGGAGCTTCTGCATGTCACTTCTTATTGTCTGATCTCTTTGTTCATACTGTTTTTTTTTCCCCATACATCTCTCTTTTCCAATTCAGAGCATGAGTTTATTTTCTGAATATACACATGCTCCAAGTCCACATGCAAAGATATTTATACAATTGAGCATACATAGATTATATGTTGTTAAACTGGTAGTTACCTCAACTTGTTTGTCTCATTTGTATGTGCATGTATAAATTAACATGTTCATTTATATTTTGGTATATTACATTATTTTGAATTCTCAAAATTCCTGCAGTTTCCTCGAGTATTTTGGTTGCTATTAGTAACTGCAGCAACATTCCGATATGTATAAGTCATTCTAAGAAATAGCTGCTGTTGATTGAAATAAGGCTGTAGTGCAATCCTGATGTTAAGATCATAGTTTTTATATTTTTTGAAGGTAGGTGAATTTTTACTATAATAAGCAAGTCTTGGTCCATAGTGGTAAATGATGAAGAACTTATGGGAGAAAGACTCCAGTTCTACCCATTTAACATCTCCTTATGTTCTTGGACGCTCATCATGGGGGACTTCATCTGACTCTGATGTGCAACAATCATCTATGTCCAAAAGTTTGACCTTGAAAATGGGTGTTTTTCCTCAACAATACCGTAATACCAAGTCATTGAGTTTTCAATATCAAGACCGAGATTCTTCTTCAACTCAATCAACAGATCAGTCTTACCCAGAAGTGGCTTCAGCACAATCAGGTATTTTTAACAAAATCTTTTATATGTCTGATCGTGCTTGTTGATTTGTTTTTGATGTTTATATATCTGTATATTTTTTTTTATTGTGAGCTGTCACCGGTGAAAAGAAGTAATACAAAATTTATGATTTTGATGAAGTGTTAAGTAATATCTCCACACTTTGCATATGATGTAGGATAATAGTGATAGTCATACTTTGTGATACATTTTCTCCTTTCAAAAAATGGAATAGATCTTGAATAGCTTATGTCAGTATCAGAAAATACTTAATTACTTCCTTATGGACATTGATGAATACTTTATTTAGGTAAAATTTCAGTCCGGTGTAGCAATTCTTCTGTTTGTTCAACACTTAACACAACTGGAGGAAAGAGTTAATATCTCCACACTTTGCATATGATGTAGGATAATAGTGATAGTCATACTTTGTGATACATTTTCTCCTTTCAAAAAATGGAATAGATCTTGAATAGCTTATGTCAGTATCAGAAAATACTTAATTACTTCCTTATGGACATTGATGAATACTTTCTTTAGGTCAAATTTCAGTCCGGTGTAGCAATTCTTCTGTTTGTTCAACACTTAACACAACTGGAGTAAAGAGTGTGGAAAGTGTCATCAGGTCATCTATGGGGAGTCAGGATTTTACCTTCACTCCTTCACAACTGGGTCACAACCAATCACTTGTAAGTAGATATATGATTGTGTCCTAATGAACAGAGGTTATTTGCAAATATTTTTCTTAGAATTTGTGTTTCAGACTCATGCTGCATTCCACTTTGCTGAGCCATGCTTTGGTGGCCTACTACCTGCTGCATATGGACCACAGCCAAATGTAAGATGTTAGAGTGTATTCATTTAATTTTTCACTATTTTGTATTTTTGTCAGATTGTCTTCAGCACAGGGAGATATATCATAAAACAAAAGGTTATAATAACTGTATGACAGACTCATGGCATCAGATCTAGGCTTTATCTGGAAAGTATTTTGTTTAGATCTGGTATAATGAGGTTTTTACTTTACAATTGCTTCACTTTGGTATAATGCTATGTTTTCTACCGATATTTTTGAGAATGGCTTAGGCTTTGTTATGTCATTGACTTAGAAATAGGGTAAAGGTCTTTTTGGGAAAGCTTGATGTTCTTGTTATATATAGTTTTCTTTTGATAAGAATAAATCCTGTGCAATACTTTTTGAGAAACTTTCAGATAGATGTTGGTAGGAGTAAATGCTGCTGTGGTTGAATTCTGTTGATGCCTTTATTTTGCTTATTTAAATGAATGATTGAATAGTCCATAGTATATGCTCTCTCAAGATGTTCAATTTACACATCCTTGTAAATCTTTTCAGACAGTCATCCATGCTTAATAAAACTTTACTATTTTTTTTTTTTTTGCTGTTAATAGCTTGCCAACCTTACAGATTCTCATAGTTCATAAAGTAGAATTTATGAAGAATCTTTTTATTTAAAAATGTTTCTTATCTTTTCCTTTGCACCTCCTTTGTTCTTATTCTTTCATTGCTTTTATTATTTATTAAAATACTTTTTCTTATGGTGGAGAACTTGTTTCTTATCTCTGACTCAGGATTTTCTTTATTATAAACTTTTAATAATCAGATATGCAATCTTTACAAGGCAACACGGTTATTCTTGTTAACCTTTTTCCCTAGTTGATGAAAAAAGACATTGGTCTTTCTATTGATAATAAGAATACATTTCAAGCTTCAATCGTTTGATTCTCATATATGACGTGGTGATTCTCTAATTTTATTTATGGTCTAAAGAAGTTACACAATGCCTTGAAACTTTCAGTGAGTTGCATGTTTGTAACACCAACACAAATTCTGTCTATTACTATATTCTGAAACACATGCTACTAAAATTTGGCCAGGTTCATCATGCTCAGCTAGTAGGAATGGCTCCTGTTCGAATTCCTCTGCCGCTTGATCTTAGTGAGGAGCCCATCTATGTGAATGCAAAGCAGTACCATGCTATTCTGAGGCGCAGACAGTATCGTGCCAAACTTGAAGCGCAGAACAAACTCATCAAAGAACGGAAAGTAAGTGCTTTTTGGTTTACAAGAATGGCTGACAACACGTTCTCTAACACCCTTTTTTGAACACTTTATTATTGGTTGAAATTATTGGTAAGGACAGAATTTGGTGGATTTTACTTCTTATTCAATGAGACTTGTTTGTAATGTCGTAGTTTTCAATGAAAAGAGCATGTTAACATTCTTCTTTTGTTTCCTATCCCATTTAAGGTCAATTTCTCTTAACACTATCAACATTGTTCTGCAGCCATATCTTCACGAGTCTCGCCATCTTCACGCACTGAAGAGAGCTAGAGGTTCTGGTGGGCGCTTCTTGAATACCAAAAAGCTCCAAGAGTCAAAGCTCACTCTGGCGAACCGTGGCCTAGATGTTTCAAGCCGTACTCAACTGAATCTTGGTGGAAATATGTCAGAAACTAAGGTGCATCAAGTAAAAAACTTGAACTACAGAGATGGTGTTTCCACAACCACCTGTTCTGATGTTACTAGTGCATCTAATAGTGATGGTGTCTTCCAGCAACATGAGTCAGACTTTAGGTTATGTGGTTACCCTTCTCATATTGGAAGGAACATGCAGGGTTACTCTGCCGATATCAGTGGCTGTGGCGGCGGCAGCGGAAATCGACACCGTCTATCTGTCCTTATGTGACAAACTTTTATGACACACTAGCAAGTTTTTCTTCAGCATTCACATGGAGAAAATAATTGCAGTGTTCCATGGGGAAGTCATCCTTGGCTCATTTAGATTATTGCGTCTTACTAACATGTTAATGTTAGTAAAGATATGGACCTTTGCTAGATTTCATTTTTATATAATATTGCTGCCTGGAAAATGTTTGGGCAAAGAAAGCACATTTAGCTGACTAGTCATAAACAATAGTATTTCCTTATGTTGATGTCACATTTGAAAATGTCGTGTTGAGAAACTAATGTTTTGATTGTGGTATCTCTTTTATCTTTGTGTACTAATAATGCTGTGTTGATTTTGCCTTGGCTGATATTATTGTTGTCTTTGATAAAATCGATTGTGTTGGGTCCTTGTCGTCTTATGCTTTGGCTTATACGGTTGTGAAAAGCCTCCACAAAATTTTGGTGGATAGGTGTTTTGAATAGAACTTGTCACTTGTATGAAGGTGCCAAGATCATAGATTCATAGCATCTTTTGATTTGCTAGATATCACTTCTCAATTGTGCTTTGCTTTACGCTCATGCCAACCCTTCTCTTCACCACCAACATTTTGTACATTTTTTTTTTTATAATTAATTTGACTATATATTTTGTTAGACAAAATGAGAGGTTCAAGATTGTAAGTTAGACTAAGACTCTAAGAGGGGTAATCATGTCTGACCCCAATACACTAACTCATTGAATGATACCAAAAACCAACTTTAGGAATGATGATTGTGAATTTGTGGTTGTATAGGTGTTCTAATTTTTCTGTTATATAATTAGTGTTTTCAAGGGATGGGAGTGGAATATAATTGCTAATAGGATTGAATGAGAGGAAGTTTTTCCCAGATCTTTTTGTTTACTGAACACATCTTAATCTTGAAATATATGAATTTATAAATATAAATTTGGATTGTGTCGAAAAAACAGGTCTGAATTTTGTAGTATTCGAAAACCTTTGTTGAAAACGTTTATGAATTCGTATACTGTAGAATTCGTTGTAGATTTCTATTTCACATTTACATTCACATTTTTGTTTAACCGTGTATTCTAGTATTATTAAATTAGGAAAGCGTAGAAGAAAAGGTGTGAATTTGTTTTTGTAGGAAAGCGTTTATTAAAAGTTGAATAAGTTATCAATTGTCTTTTAATTAGTACTCGATTAATTTTTGAAGTAATAGAATTATATAAGTATTTTTTTGAAGTATTGAATATTTATAGGTTAGTTCTTAATTTATATATCTAATTTAATTAATTTGAAGGGTTTTTTTTAATATTTAAATAGTTATTTAACATGATTTATAGTATTTTATTATTAGTTTAAGTAATCTTACTAAGGATAATTTAGGGAAAGGAAAGAAAAATAATAATTTATTTACCAAAAAAAAGGGAGAGAAGAATAATATTTTGATAAATTAATTTGGACTTATGCAGTAAATTATATTAACATTAAAGGGATTGAAACACTTTGTCATACTTATATTTTTCTATTTTATCTTTTATCTAATTTATTGTATAACTAAACAGGTAAAAAAAAGTAAAATAAAAAAAAGAAAAAAAAAGAAGAAGACAAAAGTAGTGATTAAAAAAGATATTTCCTAAATTATAAATTATAAAATTCAATTAATAGATATTTCATTAAAAAAAAAAAAACAATCACATATCGTAAAGTTAAGGAGATTGGATTGAGTATGAGTACTTTGTTTTGGGTTAATATGTGTTAAATGATATGTTTTAAATTCTTTTAGAAAAAATCAAGTCTTTGAATTAAAAAAAATATAATTATTTTAATAATTTTTTTTTTTACATTTTTTTAATAATATAGGATTTAGGGTTTAAAATATAATTATTTTAAAGTTAGTTTTCTAGCGATTTAAATAATTAACAAAACAATTTTTTTTACGATTTTATTAACTTTAAGAATTTAATTATAAATAAAAAAAATTGTTAATTCAAATGATTTGATACTTTGCTCTTTAATAAAAGATGAAATTTGTCTCCAACTTTAAACATAAAATCATAACTAAAGGTATTATTTTATCTTTATATAGAAATTTCGTGGAAAGAAATTATAACTGTTTATCAAATAAAAAGAAAGAACTCTTAAAAAATGATTGAAGTTCAAGACATAATTGTAGTTTATTTTTAGTTTAGAAACTTAACTAAATATTCTCAAATAATTTAGAGACTTTTTTATAAAAAATAATTTAGGGACTTATGAACGTATTAAACATACTTTTAAAGAGTTTATTTGTCATACATTCTCACTATAAAAAATTTATAAAATAAATATGTAACTTGTGAATTTGTACTTCATATAATTCATATGTACTCTATGATTGATACATGTAGTATATATGACATGAATTGTAAATTAATTGGATTAATTGTAAATTTATGAGATTCCTACTTTTTTTAGGAAGTACTTAATATAATGCATGTTGAGGGTTGATAATAATTGAATGATACATGTGAATATGATGTTAAATTTGAGTAATTGATAATATAATATAGTAATTTTAAGCATCTATTTATATTTTTACTAATTAGAAAATTTTTTGAGATTTTGCTAGATTTTTTTGAATTGATATTGCACTAGATGCAAATTTATGACACCAAAGGTGATAATTTGTAATGATTTATTTAAAAAATCAATTAGTGTTTATTTATGTAAAATAATTAATTTTATCATTACAATATTATTTTGATTTTATTTGAAAATTATTCTATAAATAATTAAATTTAGTACAATCTATAAAACAGTTCCAATAAAAAAAATATCTAATAGATTTTTTTAAGAATTAATAGATTCAATTTATTTACAATACTATTTAAATAAAAATATTTAGTTCTCTTCTTTATCTTGTATTTTAAGATATTACATCATTTCTTTATCTTGTTGTCTACATTCTTATTCATAAAAAAAAAATAAAAATGCTTATTAAGTAATAAATAAGAATTATTTCTCTTTGCTTGTAAAAAACAAGAATTATATTTTTGTTATATTTTTGATAGAATAAGAATTGCTCCTTGAAAAATAAAATATATTTTTTGAATTTTTTAAATAAACAAATAAAAAATAAAAATTTACTTATTTTGTTAAAAAAGTTTTTTATTTATTTATAAAACTTAAACAAACAAGTCCATCATTATGTAGAAATATTTTGAATAAAAAATATCAAGAGTTAAAACAAATAAGGCTACAGAAAAATTTTAAAATACTAAACAATAACAAAACTAAAGTTGAATGAGAGATTTCTTAAATTTAACAGTAAGGAAATTTATTTAGAACTGTTTAAATAAACTTTTTATAAGTACTTCATAAATAATTTATACATAAATTAAAAAATATATATTTGTAAATTCATCATGAAATAAGTAAATAATAAAACTAACGTGATACTCTTTAAAACACCAAAATCAAATATAATTTATTTTTTTTTATTTTTTTTACAACAACTCCCACCTCTTACCCAACTAGTTTCTTGATACTATCATGTTTGTAGTAGGTGATTTATTTGCAGGAACATGAAATATAGATAATTTATAATTTTATAAATTGGTGCTGGTGGTGTTTTGACTACGCCGGCGCAATCATGTTCCCTCGAGATTTTATTTATAATTTTCGATTTTGGACCAAAAATATTAAAATTAAAAAATAAATAATAAAAAAAAACTAGTGAGTGAGAAATGAGAAATAAAAAGAAGAACAAGAAGAGTGTGTGTGTGTGTCTTGTTGTAGTTGTGCATTGTGCAGTTTGCAAAATTTTGTTGCAGAGGCAGAGAGAGCCACCACCACACCACACCACTCTCTTCACTTTCGCTCTTTCTGCAACTCCCAAATCTCTCTCTCTTTTTGACCTAAAACACTTTCTTTCGCTTTTTTCCTTCTGATTTGGGTTTCAGAGGGACCAATGGACTCGCGCACACAGTATAATCCCCGCACCGTTGAAGAGGTTTTTAGGGATTTCAAGGGCCGAAGAGCTGGTCTCATCAAAGCCCTAACCACTGGTTTGCATCTTTTCTCCTTTTCTTTCTTTAATACTCAATTTATGTTTTCACGCCGTTTTTCTACTCCAGTAATGTGCTTGGCATGTCAAATTCTCGATTTTTTTTTTATTTTGGTTTTTGCTTTTACTTAATGGGTTGGTGAAAATTTTCGTGGGGGGGTTTGGTTTCGTGAACGCGTCGCTGTTGCTGTTGTTGACACATGACAAGTTTTGTGTTGGTGTGAAATTTTGGGTTTAATGTACTGAGCGTTTGAAATTTTTTAAAACTTTAATTTGGGGTGGAAATTTTAGGTTTTGTGTGCCATGTGTAAATTTTGGTTTTTGGGCTGTTTTTTTTTTTTGAAGTTTGTGCTGTTTGCATCGAAGCTTCCGTGTGAATGGGTTTGGTTTTCAAACTTTGAATGGATGGTTTTGAGTGGTTAATTTTCATTTCATTTGATGTGTGTGACAAATCATGGCTTCTCTATTTGTGTTGTAATGTGGTTTGAGGAAGAGGCACCGAAAATACCATAGTGGTAGTGCCTGTGGTTTTTGAGTGTTGTTTGATTTGTGCTTTGAAAGGATTCCACGTGTTTCTTCCTTTTGTTCTTGTTATTTTCCTTCAAGTATTTTTTATTCAGATTTGCTTAGCACTTAATGTGGGTTTTTTTTGTTGTTGATATTTTTAACCTGCAACTGCTATATGTGATGTGTGTTTGTTCGTGTTATTTTCTTGATTATTTTACGTACAAGTTCATTTTCAACATTTGAATATGACATCCAGCTTTTTTGTATTTGTTTATCTTTTAAAATTTATATGTATGAAGGTTTCGAAAGCTTTTCCATACTGATGGATTTTTTCTTCTTTGTAATGCTGCTGCAGATGTTGAAGATTTCTACAACCAATGTGATCCTGGTCAGTTGTGCTCTTCTTTTCATGTAGTCGTTGCATGCCATATTGTTTGTTTTTGAACAGTCAATTGACTTTGCTGGAAGGCTGAATTCAATTGAGGCTTTTTAAAAAATTAACAAATAAGTAATTATTCTGTTAATTTACTTTGATGTTTGAAAATAAGTAATCTTTTTTTCTGAATGTGGGCTTAACTGTTATTGCTTTTTGGGGTTTGTACTTGGTTCCTTGAATACATTACTTGTTCACATCTTCTTCCTTTAATATATGTAATGCGGTCAATTTTCTGTGAGAGTACTGTTGTTGTAATAATTTTACTCGTCCAAGTTACCTGTTCTAATGATTAATGTACACCTCTCTTGGTTCTTGCATAAAGGAACATTATTTAAAGTCAGCTTATTATTATGTCGTTTTCTTTTGTAATATTATTTTCTTTCTTTGTGATGTCTTGTTCAATTGTAGCTTAGTCATGTGTTTCAATTGTAAGTTACCTGTTCTAATGATTAATCATTAATGTACACTTGGTTCTTGCACCAAGGAACATTATTTAAAGCTAGCTTATTATTGTGTCATTTTCTTTTCTAATATTAATACCTTTGTGATATCTTATTGAATTGTCACTTAGTCACGTGTTACAACTGGAAATTAACTGTTATTTGTCATGTGATTAAATAGTTTTGAATAATGATTTCCTTTTGGGGTGGGAGGCTGGGAATTGCATTCCATATGATAATCAAAGTGGCCATAACTTGCATTTCAGTAACTCGCAGATAGTTTTCAAGCATGTTGTAAAATTTGACTATTGTAATACAAAAAACTAAGACAGAATGACAATAGGGATTGGCATGATGCGTTGTTTTCCCTATAAAGTCCATGAGTGGTAATTTCATTATTGAATTGTGATTATCAAGTCTGATTATTGACTGAACTTAAGGGGAATGCATTTACCTTGTCGACATGTCATATCCGTGTCAATGTCATTCTCCTATAGACATTCTTGTATGCAGAGTAAGGTTAAATTTGAGTGCCTGGTGCTTCTCAGTCTCTTGGTGGTAATCTTTTGTTAACTTTTTTTTAGAAATACAAATATTATTATGCAGCGCTAGCTGCAAAGAAAAATACCATAGAAAAAGGATTAAGAATTGTTTTGTAAGGATTATAAGGCTTTCCTTCTTAGATATTCTATTTGATGCTTGTGTTTCATAAATCAGTTACTTTCATTCTTTCAGAGAAGGAGAATTTGTGCTTGTATGGCTTTCCTGGTGAGCAGTGGGAAGTAAATTTACCTGCTGAAGAAGTACCGCCAGAGCTTCCTGAGCCCGTGCTGGGCATCAACTTTGCTAGGGATGGCATGCAAGAAAAAGACTGGCTGTCTTTAGTTGCTGTCCACAGTGATGCATGGTTACTTGCTATTGCATTCTATTTTGGAGCCAGATTTGGTTTTGATAAAGCTGACAGGTATGTCATACTCTTTCCATAAATCATATCTAGTTAACTTAATTTGGTTGATAATAACAAAGCAGCCGGATCCTGTTTACCTGATACTCTGATTTATCTCATTGGTTCAGTTTTTTTCTATACATATCTTATTTATTCACGTACTCATGATTTGCACATGTAATGCAGGAAACGTCTTTTCAATATGATCAATGAACTGCCAACAATATTTGAAGTTGTTACTGGTGCAGCAAAGAAACAAGTTAAGGAGAAGTCTTCAGTTTCAAACCACAGTGGCAGCAAGTCTAAGTCCAGCTCTAAGGCAGTAATAATATATTCTTACACCTCTGCATGACATAAATATATTTTTCATTCATACATTTTTTTTTGTATTGCAGTGAAGAACTCGGGTTGATTTTCAGGTGTTGTCTGTTTCTAGATACTGACCCCATTTAACTTAAGTACCTGAGGTCATTAAGTTAGTTAATTTTTAGGAGAGTTCAGTCTATGACATAAAAATAATGGTGTAAATATTATGAAATTGTTGAAAGGATGTATAATAATGTATGTGGAAAATCTATATATAAATCTTCAGAAGATAATTCTAGTACCAAATTGGATGGCTATCATCTGAATGTGCGTTGTTAGGTGGGGGTTTAAAATTGTGGTATACTATCACCTAAGTGTAAACCTGAACAGAAATTATGGGTAGTTATGGTTAGTACTGTAGCATTCTCTTGTATGCTCTAAATAAAAATAATATAGAAAAATTAAAGATAGCTGTAGTGTGGTCAGAATGAGAAACTTTATGACCTTGATCAACTCTTAAGATTAAGCTATGATCTAAAAGACGGAAATGTTGTTGAAGTGGAAATATCTCTATACCTGACGGAAGTTTTAGCATTGACCTTGCAAGCTGTTGTACTTCTGCGGTGAAATTTGGTCTTAAAGAGTTATGACAGATGAACTAGTATATATTGATTTATAAAATTTCAACCTTGTGTTCCTTGCATTTATAAACAATCTATTTGGATTTTGGACTCATAATTACTACCACCCTCGTTCCTGTAAGAAATGGGGATATGAAAAAAGGGAATAAAGTATCTGAACATGTTATCATGGTATTGTAATAGTTGTTTTGAATTCTAATCTAGATTTTGAGAATTTCATTGCCTGAATTTCTGGATATGGTAGTGGTACCACTACCACATTGATGTTTTCAAAGTCTGTTGAATTCATGGTTTAAATGGAATACTTATGCATTGTAACTGTTCTGTAAATCTATGACAATGTGTGGTTGTATAGAAATATCTGGCTTATATTTTGCATGGTGTCATAAAATTGTGCTTCTCTTTTACTCATCAACTAGTTTGCTTTCTCATATAATTGTTGTCTTGTGCACAGCAGCAGCGGGCTCCGGAGTCTCAGGGTAGGCAGTCAAAGGCGTTGCAACCAAAAGAGGAGGAAGAAGAGCTGGATGAACAAGAAGATGATGAACATGGAGAGACCTTGTGTGGGGCATGTGGTGAGCATTATGGCACTGATGAATTCTGGATTTGCTGCGACATCTGTGAGAAGTGGTTCCATGGTAAATGTGTGAAGATCACCCCTGCTAGGGCAGAGCATATCAAGCAATACAAGTGCCCATCATGCAGTAACAAAAGAGCTCGCCCCTGACTGACATGAGCCAAGTTCCATCATTGACAGTCATTGTTGGACTCTTTGCTGATATTGTTATTATGCTTTTCTTCGTAGATGTTGCAGTTAATGGATAGTTTGTGTTTGACACATGTAGGTTTCTTTCTAGTTTGTAGGATTCTGCTGTGTTGGTTTTGTTAATGTCAACTGCAATTCAGTTGATGCCTTCTCGGATTTGATCAATTTGTAGTTTATGCATTGTTGACTTGGGAAAGTGAAGTCTTTTCCTTAATGTCATTCTAAAACTAGGTTAATGAAAAACACAAATTGTTGCTAGTTCACTACCCCTCCCCCAAAATTGAATGTCAGTTTTTGGACATAAAATTGTTTTTCTGGGCAGCCATGAGGGCATCTAAAAGCTAAAGATGTACATTCTCACTTGAGAATATCAGCAACATTGTTGGGTAGGCTAGCGAGTACTTACTCAAGAAATGAATTTTTTTTTTAATATGTAAGAATGGCAGTGATAACATGATTTGAATCAAAGACTTCATAGAAATGTTTGTTTTGAGATATAATATTGTACTTTCGAGAATTTTATCCTCAAGAATGTTAATTATGTGTGTGTTTGCTTGACATGGCTAATTTTAGAAATTTTTTTTATTTAATTAAAAAATTAAAGTAAATGAAAAAATGTGGAATAATTAGTGGAAAGAGTTATTAGAAAAAGTAATTTTTATTATGAAAATATAATATATCCATACTTCTATACTTGTGAATATCTTTATATAAGTTTCTTGAGAATAGATATTCTCACCTTCATGTTTTTGGAAATAAAAAAATATTATTTGAAACAAACGCATTTTATGTATGATATTTTAATATCTTATTATTAAGCCGATTTTAGTGGTTTTAATGGATTTAATCATGAGTTGGATTGTTTGAAATTGAATGCTATATGTGAGATTAAGTGGCAAAGGACTAAAACTCGCAAAAACATTTTAGAGCTGATTATTTTCTGTTTTCAGCTTTTAGAAATAGAAACATTAGTAAAAGTTGTTCGAAATACTGCTTTCTCTTAATGATGTTGCGTTAAAAATAGTGTACAATTCTATTGACGAAATGTAGTATGAAACAACGAGACAACTGCAAAATGTTCAAAATTAAGGATCTGCTTCAGGTGGCGAACAAAGTGAGAGTGTTTGTCCAACAAACATGTGAAGGTGTGGGGACTGGCAAAGTTACTCAAACACTTTGTGTTAGTTAGTGTTAGGTGCATGTCTCAAGTGGCATATTGGACCTTAGATTGGTCCCTAAACCCTATAAGGGAGTTGAGTGATTAATAAATCAATTAATTGTTCATATTCAAAGTGAAGTAACTCATTGTCGCCATGAGATTTTCATATTTTACGTAATTTAGGACAGTTATTGGATCAAAACATTTTGTAAGACCATCCTAAGCTATTAATCTCTGATAAACATAGTAGGAGAAAGTCAGAAAGAGACATTTTCTATCCTTGCAGAATATGACAACATTAATAGGAACCAATTGTTTTGGCATTTAAACAAAAATGGGAGAAAAGGGGGGAAACAATCATTATGTTTATGATTTGGATAAAAATGCACTAACTTGCTAATTGAGTTACCAAGTATTTCTTATAAAGGAACAAGATTGTCTGACTGACAAGTGACAATGACATCAAACAACAATAAGAACACAAAAAAGAAACAAATTGTATGAATTATATTTTTTATTTTATAAACTATAGATATTTTGTCGTAAATAATTTAGTTTGAACATATAAAATACATGAATCATACTTGATTGAAATAGCCTAACTAGGTGATAAATGTTCTCACCTCGATTAAATCTTCACATCCATGGCAGGAAATTTATCTACACAACACAAGGCTTTCTATATTTTGCAACTTAATGTACCCTACAAGAAATTTTAGAGGTTAAGAAGGACCGTTAAAAACAATAGTACAAGAGTAATGCTTTTCATTCTAACACCAACATGTTTTACAAGAGAGAGAGAGAAGAAGGCAAGTGCGTAACAAGATGAGTAATGTGATGGAACTGGGGAGAAACAGTAAAGAAGTGTTGTAAGAAAAAAAATCCTGTACACGTTGTTAAGAAAATATGAAATAATTAACCACTTCCCACATAAAACAGCATACAATATTGTAAATGATATAAAAATTTAAATACAAGCAAGCACATAAATACATAATATCGATACCCATATTTTAACTTTCTTCTAGTGTCCAATATGAAAAGGTTGCAGCATGCATATGTAAATCCAAGCTCAAATATTTGCGAAACTTCTGCCAAACTACATCACCAATTATTGACTTTTATTTTTTCTTGTGTAAAAAAATAAAGTAAAAACAAAAAATGGAAACATAAATTAAAGTATTAAAATTAAACCACCCTTAGAAACCCAAAAAAAAAAAAAATTAACTTTCCATTTGATTGGTGGGAAAAAAAGAAATTAGGACTGCCCTTTCACATTTTTCTCATCTGGGTCTCCATCTTTGGCGAGCTTTCTGAAGAAAACGCAGTCTCTTTTCCAATTTGAAAAAAAGGTTGACACGATCGGACGGTTAGTATAAATGTATGATGGAATCCCAGTTCTTTGACGGCTTAGATTTAAAAGATTGAATATTATTTTCGGGGATTATTAATTATTAATTATTAATTATTAATGGAATGGAATCATCATTCATTGGTAAGAAATGCGTTATCCTTTCTAGCGGGAAGAAACGGTTGGAGGTTGACACCGTCAACAACAACAATGGTGTTGGCATGTTCTGCTACGCTTTCTTCCACACTATTGTTTCAAAAGTCTGTTCCTTTGACTTCTCAAATTTCAGGAACAGCATTTGGTTCCTCTTTCCTGTTCAGGAGAGAGAATGGCTCTGTTGTTCCACTTCTTGTCGTGTGTCATGCTAAGAAGAAACTCGGTTTTATGGACCAAATTCTTGATTACATTGAAGGTGGCTACTTTTCTACTCATACCTCATCTTTATCTTTTGTTCTTATAATTAAGCGTCCATCCAAGGTTTTCAAAAGCATTTGAAGTTTTGAATTGTGATTTTTTTACAGTCTTTGGTATTGGGGGAAAATTGTGATAAATGTGACTGATGTGGCTGTAATTCAATTGCGGTTGTTATTTGGTCAGGAAACTCTAAAATTCTGGATGCTCTGGTCACAATCACCAAAACCTTGTTTGCACCTTTTTGTTTTCCCAGTTTTGATGATTATATGTTCATTTTCAGGGGGTCCCAAATTAAGGAAGTGGTATGGTGCACCTGATATCCTTGAAAAAGATGGTACTGCCATAGAAGATGACGAGGATGATTATCCGGGTGAGTAAGTTTGGGCATAGTGATCCATAAATGGGAGTGCTTATATTTGTATGAGTTATCTTCGGAAATGTTTGGATAAAATTCTACAGAAATACTCTTGCGAAGAAAAAATATGAAAAAAAAATTGAAATAAACTTCTCTCCATGAAACAATACAATAAAGCATCTACAAATCAACTTATATATAAATTAATTTTAACTTATGAGGATATTTCATTTTTCTTTCTTATTTTTTTTTTCTCTAAAAGTGTTTCTGAAAAATTTTATCCAAAAAGGTGATTAGTATCATATGTTTTTAGAATTGGTGATTTTATCCTGACACATGGTTCAAAACAGAAGATGAGGTCAGGGATGCAGTGCTGGTAACAGATGGAGATAGTGAGATGGGTCAGGTCTGCTTGCCTTTTTTTACAAGCCTTGCCTGATAAGTTGATGCATCAGAATATAGAAATTCTGATTTTATATTCTTGTTAATGATAGATATAATGAATAGATATGTTGTAGCATGATTGGTTTACATTAGCAAATGGTTTTTCACTTTTTAGCCTTCTTTTCTTGGCTTATGTAGATGGTGATATTGTCACTGATTGTGAAAAAAGCTCGAGTAAAGGCACTGGTGAAGGATAAACGAGTTGCACTTGAAGCCTTTGGAAGTTATGTTGAGGTGGGTGGAGTTAATTTGCAAAACCACTAGCAGATGGTAACTGTATATTTTGTTTGTAGTTTTGTCTATTTTTCAGTTTCTTATTATTGATCACATGATGCTTGTTGCAAAGTCAATGTCAGGAGATACAAGTGACAATCGGTTCCTCAAGAAAGCTCTGAGAGGAGTTCGCACAATCATATGCCCCAATGTATGCACACTATGCCATGCCTCTATAGACAATCTTGCTTTGGTTCAAAAAAGTTACAATTGTTACTAGATATTTTTAAGCTCCATGAATCAAAGTTTAGAAGAGATGGATCAAACAAATCAAACCCCCACAAACCGGATTTCCTTATTTCATGGCTTTTTCAACGAGGTTTAGTTTTCTGTCAATGCTGCATTCTCTATGTGGAAAGAAGTGAAGCTACTCTTATGATGTACCTTTCAAATATAAGGTGTCATAAGTCATTGCTATTCGAAGGTTGATTTCATTGTAGAATCCCAGTTCACTTTAGCAAAAATTAGCAACTCAACTATTCAAGACTCTTTTTGGCTTATATAGGAAGATATTATTGAAACTTGTAATATGGAGACTGAATTTCTCAGACATGACTTTTATGGAATGACCGAAAGTAGTCATCTAGCACGGTCGTTATCAACTTAACAGATATAGAACAACTTAACAGTGTTTTACTTGGAAAGGAGGGGAAAATCATTTTGATATAAATTATAGTCCAAGTAAAGCATGTTTTTTAATTCAAACAACTTACCTGTCCTTGAATTTGTTTCTTTTTATTTTTCTCCTATTTTGGGAAACAATGGTGAGAATTGGCCTTCAGACAATTTTTCAGAATAAAAATTTGAACTATTTCATTCTTTTCCAGGAGGGTTTTCTTTCTAGCGTTGGGAGCCTTCAAGGGATACAACATGTAATTGTCCTATCTCAGGTACTTCCACCCACACCCAAATTAAATTCCTTCTCCCCACAAACACACTCTTCCTTGTGTTTTAACAAAGTTGCAGTTGTCAGTTTATAGTGGTAAAAGTGGTCTTCAATCCATGATGAAAAGCAATGCAAAGAAACTGGCTGAGCAAGATGAATCAATATTGAAGACCTCCGGAATCCCTTACACCATAATTAGGACTGGTGCATTACAAGACACGCCTGGTGGGAAACGAGGCTTTACCTTTGACGAGGTACAAACTAAAAGCTTGTTTGGATATAAGCTTAAAAGGGTTTTTGAGAAATTTTCTATTAAAAAAAATTCTTGACTTACAAAAGAGGAGTTTTTCTAAGCTTGTATCCTATTAGATTTTAAATGTCTCAATTTCTTCTTTTGATGAACAAAACTAGTCAAGACAAAAGAGATGTTTCAAAGGATGCTCTTAATGATCAATCATGTTACCATTCTTAAGCACACATGCTATTGCTAACTGAAATTTTGGAAGCATTGGCAAATAGATACACTGTTTGGACCATCATTTATCGCTTCAACTTGAAATCTCCTAAACAAAAGCAGGTGCTGGCTATTAATGATATCATAGTCAGAACTATTAATTTGATTTGATGTTTATTACAACAGGGTTGTGCAGCTAGAGGAAGCATAAGCAAAGAAGATGCTGCCTTTGTTTGTGTAGCAGCCTTGGATTGTGTCCCACAAACTGGATTCACATTTGAGGTGGCCAATGGGGATAACAAAGTTTCAGATTGGAAAGATTGTTTGGCCACATTGATGGAGAAAGCAAGTCAACAACTTCAGTGACTATTGACAGTGTATCACTATTTAATTCTTTGTGTGAAGGCTGGTCTCAAATGGGTTTGTATTTCACGAGAGGAAGAAGAGCCTTGTGCTTTTCTTTACTTTCCAGTGATCAAAATTGTTACTTGGAAAGGTTAATACGAGACTCCTATAAATTAATTTATATCAAACCGATTTTTCATTACATTGAGCCTGTTAACTAGTAGATTAGATTGGAAAAAAAAAAAGGGCATGCACAGTATTAATTAAGGGATTGTATCGATTTTTACCTACTTTTCTTGCAGTGGTTGCATGCTAATAAGTTGTGTTTAATCATTATAAGATAGAAAAACAGGGATAAGAAATCCACCTAGATATGCAAGAGAAAATAAAAACAAAAGAGGAGTGGAGTGGGTGGCCATAAAATTCATGTAAACTACTTTGTCCCAAGAGAAAAGCTCGAGTTTCTTGCCTTCGTTAGAAACGACGTTGGCGGTGTCTTTTAGGTTACTATTTCGATCTCAACTAGATACAATTTCTTTCATTTTGAATGTCCTCAAAAAGAATTTAATTGTCTACGAATGGTAATTCTTATTAGTATATATAGTTTTAGGTTCAAATACGGTTCCTTATTGACTATCTTAATTTTAATTTGTCTCTATTAAGATTTCACTAGAACAAAATTGTCATATAGTGACACACACCCTATAGTGATACTATATATGTTACTAAAAATTACTTTTACCCACATAATAATTATAATATATGTTGGTATATTATTAAAAATTGTAGATATAGATTATAGTGACACATAAAATATATTGTTAAATTTTATTCAAAATCAACACTAAAATTATATGTAACTATATATCAAATAGACATATACCTATATATATTGTACATATAGTGACACTTTTTATATGTTACTATATGTAACATTTCTTCTTGTAATGTTTTAGTTTTATAAGATTTTGTCTCATGCTTGTGTAAAAGCTTTTAAACTATTAATACATCATAAATATTTTTTTAATGGAATTTTTAAGGTAATTATTATAAAAAATTAATAGATGTACCATATATATTTTTTCTTTTGAAAAAGACTTTTTCAATGTCAATGTATATATTATTTTATTTTGATTTTACTTTCTAATTTTATTAAATTTAGATTATATTGATACACATGAGTGTGCTTTGTGGAGCAGGTGTTTTAGGCATATACATGTAGTTGGGACTTTATTTATTTTTATAAGAATCAAAAACTAAACCTTTGACGTAGAGATTCAAATCAAAATTTAAGTAAATTATAGGAATAAAAAATATTTGAACATATATTGGTAGATTATATAAATACTAAACTTTATAATAAAATTTTATAAAATAATTTTTCTTGGAATACCCTTGTCCCCGAGATTTCCCCCCGTAACTATTTGTATTTTTATAATACTTTATTTTGAAATCTTAAAAAGCTAATAATAGATATCTAAATCTAGTCATTAACGATTCTAAGAGAAACACCCAAATCTAAACTATTTTAAGTAGCCAGTCATATTTATAGATTAAAATATAACATCAGTTTCTTAGAGGATATAATATTCCTATATAAAAAGGAAAGACAATATAATATCAACATCAACAATGCTTAAAGGAGATAATATAATTTATAGTATAAGTTTTGAATATCATGACAATATTTTATTATAAAACGCTAAACAAGTTACACTTATTTATTGAATGCATTTTATATTTTGGTGCACTGTCCATTTATTTATACATTATTGGTAAGAGTTTCATTTATTTTATTCAAGGGGTTACCTACCCACCTTCTTATCACTACTTTCTTTTTACAAGTCCAAATCATAACTAATATATAAAGTCAATTTTTTTAAAATGACATTAAAAATCACTCTTTTTTGGGCAAGTGACACGTACATATATATGACGGTTATTTCAATTAGTTATCTTGCAAGATACATGGATTCTTCTCGTAAAGAATCTACCACTTTATTATATTCCAAAGCTCATAAAAAAAATAGATAGAAATCAAAGAAGCGGAATCCAAAACACGTATCAAAACAAGAAAACGAACTAATTTGAGTATTATTTCAATTCATATTAAATGTTGAATTAATTAATAAATGGAAGATATTTATATTTTTTAACACCGCGTGTAGATATAAAAATGAAATGATTTATAAGCTGTCTTTTTTGATGAAAACTTATGGGGCTAAACCTCAATAAAATAATAACTTAAATCCATTCAAGATTCTAGAGTACAATGACGTTTGCGAAGAGGCAATAGTAATTTCATTTATTTAGCAGTGGGTAAATAAGGAATTTCAACTTTCATAAATGGGCCAACTCCCAGGCCCACCACTCAACATATATGTTGGTAATGGTAGCCCCACCATTGGATTAAAGCTATCCACTACAAACCAAACCTAGATGCAGATAAAATAAATGCATAAAAGTTGTTCCCACTTCTTATTAACTTGCGTAGATCTACACAAAAGATAATATCAGTAGAAAAATACATGGAAGATTCTTGAATGCTCATGTGACTGCTATGCTCAACTCAACACTTTTTTCTTTTTGGTTTGAAAAGTTTTCAGTAGATCACAAACAAGACTCGAGTTGAAATCAACATGATTCTTGTGTTTTCAGAGTTGCAAAGTCAGCTAGTACATGCTATTCAATTTGGAAACCAGAGTGATTCATAATTATCAAATCAAACCTCCGAACAAACAAGAAGCCTATGCATAATTTCTATGGTGACTATTGACTAAGAAACATAGATGTGTTAAAAGACTTTTTATTTATGTAAGAACCTGAAATGACTTGCACTGATCAAGCAGTCATAATTCAGGCAAGCCAAAAGAGAAGAAACAACATTGACAAGCGAAGAAAAGATAAGAACAGATAAACTAGCAAAGAACGGAGGAAAGGGAAAGATCAAAGAACTTCCTCTCTTTGTTTATCCTTTTAGCTGTCATTATAAGCCTAACCATCATGTCAAAACCTCTTGATTCTTGGTGGAAAGCCTTTTGAGGAACTCATAAGTTGTGATCATAGTTGTTGCAGACATTGACATTGAAGCCCATCTAGGTCCCAATCCTCTATAGCAGGCCATCCAACCCCCTTCCCTAACCAAACTCCTCACCGTCTGCATAACCGTCGGCCCTCGCCGGCTGCCGTTGTCATCGCTGTCCAAGACCTGCAGTCTTGTCTTGATGGTGTCCAGTGGCATGGTGATCAAAGCAGACATGCCACCAGCCACAGCTGCACTGACTCCCTGAACTGCCATCACAGTCTTTGTATCAGGCTTCAATGCAGTAGTAGTATTATCACTTCCCTTGCACAAGTAGTACCCAACTCCACCCCAAACCATTCTTTGTGCAACAGAATATGAAGCCCACCAAACTGCATTTGAAGGGGCATAGGTCAAAATTGAGATCCCAAAACCCCTATACAAGCCCCTTAGACCATCACTGCTCAAAATCTTCCTGAAGGCATCAATCCCATTGATGTACCTAAGACCTGAAGCCTTAGGGTTTGTGGAATCACAACCACCTTGAACCATCAGCCTCTGGCTCACAACATCAACAGGGGTCCACACAAGCTGAGCTGCCATTGCAGCACTCAGGCCAGCAGCTGCATTAGCCACTGCAGCTGCAGTGGGCTCAGCAAGCCCAAACCTAACAGTGGCAGTGCCAACATTGCTCTTGGTAACCTCTAATGCAGCCATGTAAAGAGCCCTAGCAGGGATTGTACCCATCAATGAAGTCCCAAATCCACGGTACAATGCCCTAAAACCCTCACCCCTAATCAGTGAAAATGCAGTGTTGATGCAGGAAACTTGAGACTGAGCCACTTGCTGCCTTGTCTTCAACACAACAACAGGGTATAAGGTTGCAGAAACCCCAGAGAAAAGTGCAGCACCAAGGAAGAAAAACTTAGACTTATCAAGCATTTGCCAATCAATCTCCCCCGGAACATGAACCTCTTCACCAGATTCATCCTCAGCCACACTCATGCTCATCTTCCACACTTTCTACACCAAGGTTTTAAATTGCAGCCACAGTTTCAACGCGTTCTTTTGCTCTATATTTTAGATACACTCAGCTGATGCGGTTACAATTGCGGTTGTAAAAACCTAAAATCCTTAACGTTGCAACCAAAATGACGGCCTTTTACAAAACCTCGTTCTCCACCACCCCAACAAAAACCCAGAATCAAAATCTGATTTTTCCTTCAAAAGCAACCTCCAACAACCCTCACCATCTAGAACCCTAACTGTACAATCTTTGAAAACCCGGCAAAGAAAATATTAAAATTAAACAGAAAAGAAATTCTAGCTGTACAATTCGCAAACTACAATCGAGTGTTACGAGATTGGAAGGGAAATATCCCTAGGGTTTATGGGAACGAAGTGGGTGGGTTTTTTTCCTCTTGTGGAACCAGGTTTTGGATCGAACGTGTGATACGATGAATAGATCTAGCATTTCTAAATCAACACAGGGGGTGTCGCAAACGGTTCATACCGGTAAGCGCATAAGCATCGGCGCCGGCGATGAAAAGTTTGACGGTTGCCGGAAAATTGGAGACACCCATCGTCATCAGAGTGGCATATATAGATAAAAGTTCAGAGCATCTAAACAGTGAGTGAGAGAGAGAGAGAGAGAGAAAGGTAACCGGAATGAGAGGTGGATTTGAAGGCGCGAGAAGGAGGAGGGACTACACGTGTCGGTTAAGGATTAGGGGCATGTGTTAGTTTGTTAGGGTGTTTTTGTTTTTGTTGTTGGTTTGTCAGATGGAGTGTTGTCCGAGAAAGTTAGTGTGACGTGGCAATCCTTATCCAGTGCTGGCTCGAGCTTGGTTCCCCTGTTACGCGTACCATGTGACTGCATCTGATCCTGCCTTTGTCAGATCATGTGGGAACAAAATGATTTGTGTATGTGATCTGCCTGTCTTTACTTAGTTTTCATACTTTATATAATTTAAAAGACTACAATTGGTGAGGTTTTATGCAGTTCAGAAATAAACCGTAGACGATCCAGATCAAACTTACATATGAGATTTTTTTTTTTTTTTTTTTGTGTTTGTGGCCCACTCTAAGAGAATCTTGGAAGTGGAATGGGCCATTCCGGAAGCAGAACGGCCCGTTCTGCTTAAACACATATAGTGTTATTTTTGAAATTGGAACGGCCTATTCTTTACCTGTTCCAATTTCAAAAATAACACCGGGCCGTTCTGTTTCTGGAACACTCTTTTTCACTTCCAAGATTCGCGTACACTGGACCACAAACGCAAAAAAAAAAAAAAATTGAAAACAACGCAGAATTCAGTTATCCGGGAACCGAATTTTAATCACAAAAAAAAATTTTGAAGCTCAGAATTTGATTTTCCGGGAACCGAATTCTAAGTGTGAACAATAATCAATGCTAGTTGTGTAAATAAAGTGTAACAAATGTTATTTTTCTAATTTTTTTTAAATTTATTTACGTAAAAAATTGTACATATGACGGATGCAAATGAATCGAGTTTATTTTATTTTATTTTATTATTTATTAACATATGCAAAGATGAATGGATAAGGTTCTTGGTGAAAGATTGAGATCTAAAGGGAGAGAAAAAAAAAAAAAGAATCCGGGGTATGCAATTTGCATTAGTTTATTTTTCACTAATTCAATATCATCATATAGATATATATCATATATCGTATCGTATATATATATATATATATATATATATATATATGAAACTATAAACAAGTTCGAATAACACACACATCTCTTATTCACATAAATTTAGATGATACATACTATATTTACATAAGTTATTACGTATTATTTATAACTATATAAAGGAGATATCAAATTTTAGTTTCTATTTAACAGTCAGTTTTTTTCTTTAATATCATAATCACTCTGTTTATTTAACTATAAAAATGACTTTAACTTATTTTAGTTTTGACTCATTGATACTCTTATCTTCACAAATCAACCAAATTTCTCGATACTAGTAAGTGGTTACTTTTTTTGTAACATTCTATCTTTATACTTTTGGTTATTTATCACTTATAATTATTTTATATTTTATCTTTTATTTAAATAAAATACATAAATATAATAAGTGTTTTGATTCTACAAATATTTATAAATATTAACGATATAATAAATGAATTTAATAATATATAAATTATATTATAAAATAATCAATTAATATTAATTATAATATATTTTGAGATAATTAACATTTACAGTGTACAAATCATTGTCATTTTTTTATTTATTTTTATTATAATAATTATATGGTTAAAACATATTAATATATCTAAAATTTGAAATTATATAATTAACTATATGATAAATAATAAAAATATACACATGTAAAAATATAATTTTTTAAATAAGATAATTTTGATTAATATCATAAATCATCTACGAAAGAATCGATCAATGTTTATCATAATATATTTTGTTAAAATTAACATTTATCATATCATATCATATAATAATACATTTGTGGAATCATTAATAGATTTGGATAACTCGTGTTACACTCATAGATGTTAGGATGACATGTGTCATGTTTACATAGGTTTGGATGACACATGTCACATTCACAAAGGCTTGTAATAACCTAGACACATTAGGACAAGAGAGATTCAAATATTTGTATAGGTGTGAGACTATACAATTAAAGATGACTTAAAAGAATTAATTTGTACTACCTATATCATTAAGATGCATCTACATTTTAGTAATTCATTACAAGAGAACTTCATGGTTAAGCATGTTTGATTTAGAGACCTTTTCAATGTGTTTGGTATGATAGCAACCGTGAAAAAATGCTAGAGAGAGCGAAGAAATACGTGCGACAAAATAAAGTAGTCGAATGTTTTATAAGAAATGTATTGGAGAAGAATTTTACAAACATGAAACCCACCATTGTAAATTGCTCCCTAAAAAGCAAGTGAAATAGGGAAGAGATTTTGATAAATATTTATTTTTACACTTTTATCCTCATAAGCCATAACTCTCCCACCAACTCTCACATCTATCTCTCATTTAAATATACAAGAGATAAGAAACATTGTATTCAAATACATGGTTTCATATTCAAATGAATGAAACCATGAGTAAAAAATCTTCTTTTATTCAAATGGAGGACATTTTACTTGAATGGGAGGACATTCTATTTAAATACATGGTGATTTATTCAAATGAGTGTTGTTTTATTTGAATGGAAGGGCATAATCTTCTTTTATTCAAATGGAGGGCATTTTATTTAAATGGGAGGATATTTTATTCGAATACATTGTGATTTATTTGAATATGTGTTGCTTTATTTGAATGGAACTCATTTCATTCAAATGGGGGAGCCTCCTATATATTAACCACCATGTCTATTGGTAAATTCCAATTATTAGTTGTAAACCCCCTCTCATAGGCACACATACACAAAAGAAAAAAAAAGTAAAACTAGAGTAGGATTGTATTGTGTTATATGTATACTTCTAAATTGATCATGTAAGTATAAATATTGGTGCTAATATTGTAAAACCTTTTTCTTTTCTTTTTTTTTTAAAGAAAAATATGACTTATAATTATTTAATTATTAAAATAAATAAATAGTATATAAGAAATTATTCAAATTACACAGCCTGTAATACCGATGTAATTGGAGATACAAAAAGGATAAGTTTATTTATGATACATATGTTAGAAAATAATGGCTCAATCCAAGAGGGGGGTGAATTTGATTCTATGACACTTACAATTTTTTCAGAGTTCTAAGGATCTTTATTTCAATTTAAACTTTTCTAATATGAATTCTCAAAGAAATTCCTTGAAAGACTTGCTAATGAGAATGAGTCCTACATGCTTTCTTGATTAATCTTTGATAAAGTTCAAAGTTAAGAACACTTAATATGCAACACTTTGATTCAATTTAAAACAATGTTATACATGCAAATATATTAATCAAGAGTATTCACTTTAATACTCAACCAAGATTTTGCTCAAAGTAAAAGATAAGGGTGAGAGAGAAGAATGCACAAGTCTTTTATCCTGGTTCAGCTACTCCACATGTGACCTACATCCAGTCTTCAATCATAATCTGATCAAGATTTGTTCCACTATCTTAATGAAGAAGTTTTACAAGCATACAACACATGCATATACTCCTACATTTAAGATAACCACTTTCTTGACCCCAAGAAAGCACTTCTTGTAGAAACCCACTACAAGAATTCCTTACCACTTGAGACACCTATTCAAGATTTTCGTTACAATTTTTCACAAAGAATTAAAGGAACGAATTCACTTGGAAGCTGAACAAATCAGACTGTGAATTCCAAAAGCAAATCTCAATCTTTCTTTCCCAAGAATGTGATGATGATGATGATCTCTTTCAAAGCATTTCAAAAATGTTTTACTTCTTGGTTTCACAAAGAAAACACTCCAAGAAGGTCACAAAGACTTCACAATAACGTTTTTCTCTTTTTGATTCTCAACTCATTCTCTGTTCTGAAGTTTCAAAGTGTGAAAACTATTTATAAAATTTTTAGAACCAGATAATCGATTATTTTAAAGGATAATCGATTATTTTGTTCTTCATGATTTTTGGAAATCACTCAAGAACAGAATAATCGATTATTTTACAGGATAATCGATTATTCCAGAGAGTGCTTCCTGGAATAATCGATTATTTCACAAATAATTGATTATTACAACAAGGCTTCCTTTCACCTGTTGCTGGAATAATCAATTACATTTAATGATAATCGATTATTTTGAGTTAGTTTTCAAAAACTAAGTTTTATATCTCAAAAAATCTTTCCAAGTATTTAAACCATCATCATACTCGCTCTCAGTCAAATTTAGATTAAGATTAACTCATGCACAAAGCACACACATGCAAAATAAGCTAAATAAATCAATACAACTCATAAACTATCCCTATTACACATCATAATAGTCATATCTTCTTCTTTGCTTTTTTTTTACTTTTTTATTTCCTTAGTCAACTTGGATTCTCACAATCCACCTTTTGTTATCATCAAAACTTCCATACTCCAAGTTTGAGTTGATTCACTACTCCATGAATCTCAACAACATAGATATAATTACAATTCATATTTACTAGTATTTTTACAACTTGCTCATGAAAGAAAGAAAGAATTTTTTTTTTATTTAATTGCTATTCACAAACCCCCTTTATATTTGTTATGTTATTTTACAATAATAGATGTTATATATTATATAGTGGGTTGACATGGTTTGTTGGAAGAAGAATGAAGTGATGCTTATAGGACCATCAAGGAAGCGAGGAACCTTATCCATGGAAGGTGACTATATTATTTTGTGTCTCAACTGTCCATTATATACTAAGGAGAAATGGCGTGTACCAAAGTGGTTAAAGGTCCAATATTGGGTGAATCCATCTATATAATCAATTTTTAATACTTTTTTTGAAACAAACAAAAAAATAACCCAAAGAGACAAAAACACAAAAAAGGAAGAAGATCAATCATATAAATCAAATAGATAATTAAGTAACTAAAGTATAATCATAATTATATATTTCTTTATATACATACATATTTTTATTATTATTATTATTATTATTATTATTATTATTAACTCCTACTCCATGGAGAGATTTTAATTATTAATTTGTAGTGACTAGTTGAGATTAATGAATTTTACCATAATTCTGATAGTACAAAGATAT